GGTGTTTTGTTTTCTTTAGAGAAAGAGGAGAAAGATCTATCTACAACTATTCTGCAAAAACAAAATTTCAGAGAAACATGAATGGTACTCTCTGTGGAGCCAAACTCCTGTATATTCCCTGTCAGGTCTGGCACTACCCTCCTTGGCAATGTGAACAGTAGATGGGTTGGGGAAGAACAGGGTGTTTCTGCACTAAAGAGCCTATGGCTCTTAACTCATGATCATGATCATGGTCATCGTAATCATCATTCAAATAACATTTTTATTTCATTCTAAATCTCAGTTCATGGTCCTACATCTCTACATTAGCTTTGGGTGTCTTTTTGATAAACCCAAACTCCCTGCTCCTTCAGACCTAGGGACACCTGTTCCCACAATGGAGAAAGCATGCTCCTGGCTGAGTGCTTTCCTTTGAATTTCCACAGAGACATCCCATTCAGCTGGGCCACAGTGTCTCCTCACATTGTAATATAAGCTGATCGCCACAGCTGTGGCCAAGAACAGGAGCCAGCACAGAGGTGGACGCTGGGTCAGGTACCACCATGGCTAAAGGTGCAGAATGAGCTGCAAAGCCTGGAATATGGACAGGAAAATGATAATCCTGGATTACCTGATGTAATCCAGCAGTCTGTCCAAATTCTGCAGGATCTTCAACCATCTCCAGCGGCAGATGGAGGAAGAAATTAGCAGAGTACAGAAAGACATGCACGATGACACATTAAATGGCAGTACAGAGAAAAGGAACACAGAATTGCCTGATGCTGTGCGACCTATTGTTCTGTTACAAGAGAAACCTTTTTTTGTATCTGTAAAAAGAATACCTAGACTTTAATTTTGTTGGAGGGGTCTTTGGATCCAGAATATTTACAGTTAAATAGTTTGAAGCAGAAAATAGATGTAAAATAATGTCATGAGGCAAAGGCTCAATGAGAGATAAAGAGGAGGGAGGAGCAAAATAGAGCAAACCTTATTGGGAGCATGTAAATGATGATTTGCATGTGCTGATCACTGTGGAAGATGCTCAGGGCAAAACAGAAATAAAAATGAGGAGGGAAGTTAAAGAAGTGAAGAAATGACTGGACTGGTACCTACAGCAGAATCAGCAGACAGCCTGAAAAAGATGCAGCTGATGGAGCTCCTGATTCTTAATTACACCTGCAGAGAAGGCAACATTAAATCAGAGCCCTTGCCTTTACTCTTGTGGCAACAGCCCAGTATGCTCCAAGGATCATAACTGGTCCTGGTCTTCTCCTCCCACCAACTGCCCTGAGTACTCCTACCAGCTGGCCCTACCACAATATCTTTGATCAGAAAAATACATACTTCTACCTTTCCAAATGGAACTTCTCACCAAACTGCTGCAATAGTCCCTCAAGAGCCTGAGACTAGGTAAATCAACACACCATACAAATATCCTTACACATTGGCACCACCTACTTCAATCCTTGTACCCTATTGAACCCAGTGATTTATTAGGTACAGTGGTTACTAAACTTTGAAGGAAAAATATGTGTTTCCTTCATTACCAAAGGATTGTGACTTCAGGGCAAGCTGCCATTGGCAACTAACCTATGAACCTCTGATCTCTGAGCTCTTCACCCAGTCATGACCTGACCATGCCTGCCGGCTTATCAATTAACTTGTAATCACTTTTGCTTGTCTGTAATCAGTGCTGCAAGCTGAGGGATTGTCCATTTGTCCATCTAACTGAACAAATGATAATGAAATTGTTGTCCTCCCACTCAGCTTTTTCTCCCCATGTTAATAAAAGTGGTTCTTGAAACTCCACTGAATAGTAATAACGTATTAAGGTCCAAATTATCCTACAGCACTGATCATGTTTCAATGTCTCACCCCAGCTGAATGGTAAGAAGGCCTCCTTAAGATGGGAGACAGATGGCCCTTAATTACTCAGTGACAGAAATAGTAACTGAGAGATGTTTCTAGGAATCTTTTCTTCCCATAGTGAAATCAAGCTTTCCCTTAATGAATTGTGTGATGATGCATCATGCGTGAACCTTCTTTGGTCAGGCCAGTCATTGGTGAAGTGATTCAAAAGTATTCAAAATTTGATATTTTGTTCAGTCACTACAGTGCCCACCAAAGGCAGAAGATGCAACTTTTTTTTTTTAATTGCCTGCTACATTTGAAGTATTAGAAGATTGTGCCATGAGAGAAAAACTTGAGAAGTTTTGAAAAGTAATGCAAAAAACAAACCTCAACACTATTTTTTAAAAGATGGATATTTGAGTTAAAATTATAGAATCTTTATTTTATACCTCCCTCATAAAATTTTGAGAACAAGGTACATCCATTATGCATCAAACTACTGGGGAAACTGCTCAAGTATTTTTTTAAACCTCCCTGTATAGAAAAAAAATCATTAAGAATATAAAATCCAAACTTGCCTATTTACTGTATACATGTAAATGAAATTGTAGATAAAAGTGTAGTGCACTGAATCAAATAAACAAAAACTAGATACTTTTACTATACAAGAGTACTGATGCAGATACATATGTATGTGTGTGTGTGTGTTTATATATATATATATATATATATATATATATACATATATACACACACACAAGTGTATTTTAAACTTTCAAGTGTTATAAAACGAAAAAATAAATAAACCTATTTCATTAAATGATTCTTTCTGGTGGTTGTCAAGAAACAAAAGACAAGTATTCTTTTATCTTTGTCTTTCTCTTTTATATTTTAACATATTGGAATAGGTCTAAAGGAAAGACCTTTATTTCCTTTATGATCATTTAGTCGGTGTATGGTGAGATCAGTTCTTCCCTCAGAATAAAATCTAATGTGTGTTACTCAGTCAACCAGTATGTGAAACAACATATGGGGGAAAAGTGAGTTGAGGCTTTGAATTACATGATGTGTGCCACATGATTTTGATGCAAATTTGTCAAATTTGAACTGTGAAAAAAATTGATAACTGTAACTGTTCTAATATTTGACTAGTAAGTTTTAAAAAACATGTCATTATGGACTACTTTTGGTTGATACAAGGGTCAATGTCAACCCCCCAAAATTATGTGTGATCAAAACACCAGTTGACAGACAAAATTAGAGCTTTATTCTATTTTGAGAGGGCAGATGCATTGGAATTTTTTAAAATTTGGAGATAATAGTATACCTAGCAAAAATTTTCACAAATATGATTTTTTAAAAAAAATTTCCATTCTGGAAAACAGTGGTTAGCAGGAAACTCAATTGGCAGCATCATGGTGACCTCTCCATCAGCTTGTCTCACTTCACTTGGAACCTTTTTCACTTTATGCTATGTAGTAGACAGTTGTTGTTTGTATTCAGCTAGTTTTCATTTAATGTGCAACTGCTCTGTCTTTGTGTTACACATGCTATTGTTTTGATTTATTTACAATACATGCTGTGCCATTAAGATTTTAATTTTTTGTGTTGGTTGAATAACTTGTGATACTCAAACACATGAGTTACAGTTTCAGCTTTATCTCAAATATGTTAAAACTTGAACATTTTAGATGTTTATCAAAGGTCTTTATGGGGAAATTAGATATATGAAATAATATGTGGGTAAAGTATATGAGTAATGTTGGCTCTGAACAAACTTTAAAAATTTAGTTGGCAAAATATTGTATCAACTGAAAAGAAGCATGAATTTTGAAATATGAATGCCTTGGTACTCAGTATTATCATTCTTTTTAATATATATATATATATATATATATATATATATAGTTTTCAATGAACATTTATTTTACTTATTTATATGTGGCACTAAGAAAAGAACCCAGTGCCTCACATATACTGTGCAAGTTCTCTACCACTGAGCTACAACCCCAGCCTATCATTCTTTTTTAAATATTTTTAGTTGTAGATGGACACAATTTTATTTGTTTATTATATGTGGTGCTGAGGATCAAACCCAGGCTCTCACACTTGCGAGGTAAGTACTCTACTATGGAGCTACAACCCCAGACCCGGTATTATCATTCTTTATTGAATTTATTTCTTATTAAATTATATAGCTTTTAAGGCATTTTTCTGACAGTATTATGTAATTTTTGGCATGGTTAGATTGGAGTGTCCTTCGTATGTTACCATAGAGCTGACATGTGTTTTTTTGTCTAGTCTTGATTATCTTAGTAGTGTTCATGCTCTATATCCACCACAACTATCCTATTGCCAATGAGAAACAAGTCAGTTAATGTATTTATAGCCATTGTTACAAGTTTATGATGTATGTTTCCAACTTGTTTTATATGTCTGTTATACATTCAAAAATATTTTTTTTCTTGATTGAGAAAAGGATACAAAATGCAAAACCACAATTTTGATAAGTAAAAATTGGCACTTATTTTCTAGGCCTTTATTATATTGAGTGTCTTGTCTTGAGATTAGTTACCTAATGAATGGATAAATAAATTAAACACTTAATGGTTTTAGTTGGGATTTTACTTGGCTTGTAATTTACTTCTTTGTTTCTTTATTGTTTCTATTAACTCACATCATTAATTTAATGAATATTATAAAACCAATCTAAAAAACAACAAAAAAGCAAACTTCGGGGTATGGGAGGATAAGAGTGATGGTGATGGTGGTCACCAGGTAATTGCTTTTTAATTCATTGATTTATTAAGATTAAGGTCTAATCTTAATCTATTAAGATCAAGAACATCTACATCTATTTAGTGTGTTTTCCAATGATGTGTTTTATTTTACATAATGAGTTTAAAAAGCAACTGTTACCAAGTAAATAGAATTTAATATAAAAATTTAAGATTAAAATAAAATTATTTAACAAAGTACACATTAGTCTGTACAGTTCTATACAATATACATTGTAATCTGTTGGAACAGAAAAACCAGTTCCTGCTCCATGTCCTGTAGGCTGATTCCAGCTGTTCTTCACTGCCAGTGTCGTCTGTCCTGAGTCCTAGGACCATAATCACTGTTCTCCCAGGTGTCCTATGGAGTCTATAACATAGAACCAGGTAAAAGATCACTTTGGGATGGGTTGCTGGCCACAGAGAGTGGCCAGGACCACAATTGTCCTCAGGATATGCAAAATTTGGGCCCTGATTTTCCCTGGGGTCTGGGCAGGGAGAACTGAGGCTAGTATGCTGCCCTCAGCTGAGGGTATTGTCTGTGGGCAGAGAATGTTTATGAATGTCCTCAGGAGCAAGGACATTCCCATGGACATTCACCTTCAGAACCTTCTGAGGCTGCTTCCCTAGAGAGTGAACATGAGGCACTGGGAAGGGTTCTCTAGGACATTTGGGTGTAAAGACTGAGTAGCACACATCTGGGACCCTAAGGAGCAGCACCTGTGATGAGATAGGGTAGAGCAAAGACCCTGCTCCTCTAGCCCTACCCTCTTTAGCTCCATCCTCAGAGAGCTTCCTTCACTTATTTTAACCATCATTGTACCTCCCCTTGCATGGTCATGGTTACATGCAATAGAGGCCACTTCAGTGCTCTCCTTGCTTCTTAAGGAAGCAATGGAGAATACATGCACTTATTTGACTTTTGCTCTCCTTCCCATTACTTCCATACCCACACTTCCTCTTCCCAAACTTTTTTATTATCTTTGCTGCCTTGATCTGACATTTTAAATCAGGGATCAGGGCAGGATGCCTGGAACAGATTACTTTGGGAGAATTATGTTCTAATTGTGTAATCTTGACATAGGAAAGTAAGGGTACATTTATGCATGCTCAAAACCAGTGAGGGAAGGAAAACCCAGGTGTGCAGTGATGGCTAGAATAGAGCACCACTTTTTTATGTCCCAGGGAAGAACTCAGTCTTTCTGACCACCCCCACCCACCTACTCAACCTCAGTGCAAGGCCATGCAGTTTTTCTCAATATGATTCATTGGTGTTGCCTGAGGTCAGAGACCAGGGCAAGACTAAGAAAATTGGTGCAGACAGATTAACAGACATTAATGATACAAAGACCTCAAATATCTGAATGGGGAAAGCACCTTTAGAAATGTCATAAAAAGTGGGAAAGAGGAAATATGGAAAAGATACAAAGAGTTTCAAAATAAGAAATGAATAAAGAAAAGACACAAATAGAAAATCAATTACTTGCAGATTTCTGGTCCTTTCTCCTCATCCTCATCCTCAGGTTCTGTTACAATGTCTTCTCTATGGACTAGGGCTGTAATGGTGAAGACGTGGCCTTGGAAAAGTGAAAGGCAGAGTTAAAGTCAAGGTGAGAACTTGAGCTGCTGCTGCTCCTGGTGTTCTGTAGTCCAAAGTCAAAGCTCTCCATTCTTCCTCTTGTCTGCACTCCTGTCTCCTGGCCCCTATCACCTTAAATCTGCAATGAGGAATAGATCTGTAATCCCAAGAGCTTTTTCCAGTTCATATTATACCCCTGTACTCAGTAGGGATGTCTGTGCCATCCTGTTCCTGCAAATTCAGATTGTTCTTCTAGTCCCATTGTTTGGGAATTAGATGAAGCCAGGAGGTGAGAAACATGTTCAAGGATGAACTTCTCCCCACTCTTTTATAGCAGAACCCAGAGGCCTGTCCAGGTAGCACTGAATAAATTTTCTTTAAGTCCTCCAAATTTGTGAGTTCCTTTTAAACCAGGAGTAGACAACAAACAGAAGAGAAAGTGCTGCTATAAGAAAACAGACAGAGGGGAATTTTGAGTTCTTACACACTGGTTAGCACAAGTGATAATTGACTACATGTTTACAAAATGCCTCTTAAATAAAATTGTGTTCCATTAGATTCCTTCCATTAGGGGTCAAACCCAAAGCCCAGATCTCAATTCTTTAATGCATAATTCTTAAGACATAGCCAACAATTAAAGCTTAGCTATTTGATGCTTAGTAGAGGCAAATGCAGGACAGAGTGGGTCTTACAGTGAAGATTGTGTGTAAAAATCTGAGCAAAATGACGTATTCTTATGAATAGGATGCTCAAAGTCAGAAGGTATATTAACTGTTAATCTTATGTCATTAAACTATGAAAACAATACATTATTTTTAAAATTTCTATTTCATGCCCATTCCTCATTTTCTACAAGTGTAGGTGGATTGCACTCCTACCAGGAAACCTTTCCCATTGGCTCATACCACAAAGGCTGTTTCTACCTGCAGGCTCTTCATCTTCGCTGCTGGAGTCATAAGCTTGGCTGTAAATCCAAACTTTAGAGAAACAAACATCAGCAACAGAGTTACTTAAGATTATCTCATGCTTTCTTCTACACCAATTAAGCTCATGGTGGGTGCTAGGGTGAGATGTTGTCTGTCCCCCACACGATTGTGTGATTGAGGCTTGGTACTCAGTATGGCCATAATGAGAGTTGTGAAACCTGCATGTGGAAGGGTCTCCTTGGAGGCGATGAGGTCATTTGAGGGCATGAGACTCAGAGTTAAGAATATAGATTTCTCAAACCCTTGTCAAATGCTGGTTATATAAGAAGAGCAAATGAATCATCTGATCCCTGCTGGCTTCCTGTCTCCCCATGTGATGTCTCCCTCCTGCACCTGCATCCATGCTGACACCACCAATCATGTGATGCAGCTAAGAGGGCATTCACTAAAGCCACACGCTTACCAGTGCCATGCTCTTTTCTCCAGAACTTTAAGCTAAACACACCTGTATAAATTAGTATATCTCAAGTGTTTTCTTAATAGCAGGAAATAATAATAATACATTAATATTAATAGTTAGGATTACCCTTATCTCTTTTCTGGCTTCTCAGACCCTCTTAAACTTTGGGGAGTCAGAGGCCTTCAACAGGATTCTTCAAACAATTGCAAACATTTACGTGAGAGAGTGGAGCTGAAGGAGTCAAATTTTAAGTACTTTCTTCCTCCTATTGGCACATTATTACTCTTTCCTTGAAACAGACCAAGCTGACATGCAAACTGTGATGCAGACAGTTTGAAGAATATAAATTCACAGAATAGACACTGTGCCAGAATCAGGGCAGCTACCCACAATAGAATGGGAATGTTCTGCCTTATGGACATAGGTCTACTGGGCACTTGAAATGTGAAACTGGGATGAGGCTCTGAATGTTTCATATTAAAATTTGAATAAAATTAAATATAAACATCACATCCATGTATGACTCTTATTTTGTATGGCAAAGACCTGGAGTTCAAAGATGATGCAGACATAAACTTCCATACCCTGAATTTCATTGCAGAGGAGTTTGATAGCCTGATCTCACCTCTTTCTTGTAAGTATACTGTGAACTCTTGCAAAAGGGCCAGGAACTCTTGAGGGCCTGAGGACACTACATAAACAAAGTCAACATTAAGATTCAGGCAACATCTACATTTTTAAGATTCAGGTGGATCCCCGCAGGGTCTAGTACATCCTGCCTAGAAACGTGGGTGCAGAGCTTGGACACAGTGCTATCTTCTTAACTTTCCTACTGATTCTTTCTGGTCCTGGTCAAATCCCAGGCTGGACAAGTGAGGTCTCAGTTCAGAGTGGCACTCATCAAGTGCTGATAAGGGACTAAGATGAAGACACTTTGCTCAGGAATAAGCTCAGAATTGAGGAGGAATGATGAGCACAGTGGTTCCACCCTCAGAGACCAGTCACTGTCAGTATCCATGTCCATATAACTGGAAGGACCTAGATAGCATTTGTGAAGACCTATCAGAGACACTGTCAATGTGATATCCTCCAGGCCATACAGGGGCCGCACAGACCTAAACTATGGGATCAGACACCACTGCTGTGCTGAGCTTGATCTTGACTGAAGCCCATACTCCTGTAACTAGATGCTGTAGTTGTGATGGTCAGGCCCCATGAAAGTTCCTCCAGTTTAAGCATGTTTCTCAAGTAGTGTCTACAAAAGGACCCAATAATGCAGCTTTCAGTATCATTTGGAACATGCAAACTGAGTCCTTCCTTAGCTTCAGGGAACTCTGGCCTGGGCATTTACTTTCAGACTCCTAAGAGTACAGTGTGTTGTTGAATCTGAGGGTCACTGCTAAGGAATGGCCCTGCCCAGAAGTTTTCTTAGAATGGGGTTTGGAAATCAAATTCTGACACCTCTCAGAGAAAGTGAATATGAATGTGAAAAAAACTGTCATGAGTGAAGTGTTATGAACAATCAAATGCCCTGACTTAATTCAGAGCCCATTGACAGGTGAGGTTTGTTGTTAAATGATGTTGCTACTGGTGCAGTGACAAAAACCAAGTTTGTTTATTGAGTGATGTGAAAAATTTCCAGGGTTTGATGGGATATATTTTCCATGTTAATTGAGGTATTCTTGGTATGGAATGAATTGCACACATGGAAAATTTACAATTTGATCTATTTACATAATAATGATGTAATTAAGATGACATTTTTTGTTTGAACATGTTGACAGTGGCATCTTGGTGTGTATATATCTAGAGAAATGTGCAAAAACTAACACACAGGCACACTCAGAATCACATCACATGGATGCACAAAGACACACGTATGTATCTTTCATTGCCCTGATCACACCACTCCACTCACACAGCTGATCCCAGGAACCATGAAGAATGACCATAGTTTTTTTTTTTTGTTTGTTTGTTTTTTGGTGTGTGTGTGTGTGTGTTTAAATTAGTTTGTACCAAAACACCCTCATTTCTCATCCTCCAAGAGGTAGTGGAATGAATCACTGAGACTCTGCATACAAAAGGAAGGAAGAATGTCTGACCCTTGGCAACATCTACATTTTGCACCAGCAAGAGAGTGGGGCCCAGATATATACCACTTATGACTCCTCTTGAATCTTTCTGTATATACGGAAAGGGAGTCACTATGAAGATCAAGCCATGCTCTGTCCTTTGTGCACAAGTCTTTTGATTACTTGGTGACATTAGAAAAGCAGATGAGAAAGTGGTCAAGTCAAGGGAACTCAAAGGCCAGAACAAAGCAAACGTACTCTCACCAAATGACACAAGTCTCTAAGGGGATTTGTGTCACAAGTCTAAATTAGGTGACAACTATGGAATTTGATGGCCAAGAGGGAAAACCACTGCTGAGCATAAAGCTTGCCCTCATACAGTGTGTAGCTAATCCTGGTAATCTTGCCTTCAGTTAGGTCTCAGTTGGCAATAGAAAATCCCATGAGAATCTACCCAATTAGGAAATTGTGTATGTCATCCCTAGGAAATCAAATCATATTACAATAGAAAGAGAAATTAAAGAGCAACACTAGTATTTCAGAGGAAGACAAGCAAACTTACTATATGGCATTTGATGGATCCTTCCGATCCATGCTTTCTCCAGGTATTAACTCCACCATGCCCTTTGGGGAAACTAGGAAGATACAGAATGACTATTAGTTTACTTTTGTTATTGCTTTTGAATTATTCAAGGCATTTCTCAATATGGACAGTAGTGAAAATATATGGCAAAGAGAAGAACAATAAATGAGAAGCAGAGCCTTAGATTTTCCAGCTATACTGGAAGCATGTGGGCTATGTATGCTTTTCATTTTGTACTCCTAGGAGGATATCTGCCTCTAGAGATGACCACTGAGGCCACCTTAAAAGTATGTAAAATGTTTCAAATCTCTGTAGGAGATGTGAGTACACAAATATATTGGAATAACCTGGAGTACAATATATGGCTGAGCAATGAATACTGTTCCCTATTCCAAAGAATCAACATCAAGACAAATTTCTAGACCTTCATTGCCCTTTCACTTACAGAGTCAAGAACCTGGATCTTTTGGATCAGCATCATCTCTATCTACAGAGCGGGGAGTAACCAGAAACTTTAGATCTGGGTGTCATGAAGCTTGAAGGAATTGATTCATGCAAATCATAAAGTATTATGGGGTTTTATTTTTGTAAAATTTATGCTTGTGATGGGCATGTTGGAACAGAATTTCTGAGGAAGTTCCCACATCCTCACAAACACACACCACAATTATTACATATGGTCATGCTCAGAGATACCTCCTCACCCTCATGCACACAACTGAACACCACCAAATGACAGCTGCTTAAGAATCATAGTAGATGGTCATAATTCTTCACTGGATTATCAGTTGTCACCACATCCCAATCCTCATTTCCAAAAGAAATCTGAATTCAGTATAATTTTCTACAAAAATAAAACAGGAAAGTCCAACATATTTCTGTATAGATATTCTTTCTCAGTATATTAGGGTGTTGAGAATACTTATATTTCTCATTTGCTGTAGGGCTACCTGTAGTTGCAGAAAGAAAGACAGTGAGAGCAGGAGATCATTCGAACAAGTCTACTGTTGGCTGGGGTGACATTAGATAACTAGATGGGAAACAGCTGTTGGGGAATAGATCAAAAAGTAAGGCAGAGAGGGAACTTGTGAAAAGACATGAGCTTTGCATGAGGGATTTCTAAGGTACAATTTGATGACACGCACAACTTTTTTTTCTACCAAGGAAATGTGCCACCGAGGAAAATGCTCCAATTATTTGTCAACTGTTGTTGTCATATGTTAAGGTCATCTTGAGTCAAGCTCAGTAGTAATACATGTGTAGTTGTAATTCCACCACAAAAGAAATTGTATAAGTCATCTATAATGAACACTGTCATAGTTTCATGCCTGAATTTGAGTTAAAAGAAAGAAAACAACATTTATGTCTTAGACAAAGCAGGATCACATTACCTCCTCAATAGATTGTGATTTTTCTTCTCCCCAGTCAATTGACACCACCTCCATGATTACCGGATTGCAATCTAGGAAAATATAGTGTAGCTGTCAGTATGTTCTGTTAGCTGCAGGGTGGGCTGAACAAGTGTTAGCTGCAGGGTGGGCTGAACACCCGACCCTCACCCATCTGGTTCCTTATTGCTTCTTTGTCTCCAGGCTGAACACTCAACCCCACTCAAGGCTGAACGCTCAACCCCCACCATCTGGTGCAATGGAAATCCTCATCTAGCCCCTGCCCAGTCTGCCTGAATAGGCAGAAGATGACACTCTTAGCAACTACTGTGTGATCCAATCACTGTATTACAACAAAGCAGCTTGCAGACCCAGAGACCCTGTTAGATTTAAGCAGCACAGCAAAAGGGATATAAGATCTTCTCCTGCAAGAACCTTCTCTTTTGCTTTCACTCTCTCTTTATCTCACTTTGCTCTCCCCTCTCTCTTTCTTATGTCCTCTCTCTCTCTCTCTCTCTCTCTCTCTCTCTCTCTCTCTCTCATTTTGCTCTCTGCCCCCCTCTTTCTTCTCTCTTTCCCCATTCTCTCTCTTGCTCTAGCTCTCTATCTCTTTCTCTTTTCTCCTCTTTCTCCTGTCAATCAGACATCCCACAATAAAGATCTCTTGGTCACTTCAAGTGTCATGGTTCCTTTCCTTTCACATTCATTTACTGAAGAATTACTCAAGGGGCTTTCTTGCTGTGGATATGGGTCTATGGTGGATTGAGATGGCTGTTTAACACACGCAGGCTCATTTGCTGCTGGAACATGATTGTTAGTGTAAACCAGGAAAAAATAAAATGCAAAACAGAAAAAAATGGAAGGAACTACAATGAGAAATAAAGTATTACACAGTTATAGTAGAAGATTTCAGCATTCCTTTAAAGCACTTGACAGATCTATCAGGAAGAAAAGAAAAAATTTACTGTTAAATCATCATCTCTGTTATAGGTCAAATTACTTCCATCCAAATACATGTTTAAGTCCTAACAGTAGTACCTCAAAAGTTTACCAGGTTTGAAAAGAGATTCATTGTGTTCTTAGCAATTAAAGGTATCCTCTTGGAGCAGGGTGGACACATTCTCCAAATAGAGCATCTGTTCTCATAAGAAAATGGGGCACACTCATGAGGGACTAATGCTATGTGATGATGGAAGCAGAGAGTAAAGTGCTGCAGTTGAAAACCAAGCAGAACAAGGCTGGCCACTAAACCAGTAGAAGTTAAGAATGGGCTGGAAAAATTCTTCCTTAAAGTTTTCAGAAGTAGCATGGTCCTGCTAACAGGTCAACACGGGATGTCTAGGGAATAGAGCTCTAGGACAGTTGCATTACTTCAACCCAAGAAAGCTGGTACTTAGATATGGCAACCCTAGGAATTTACCAAAACCATTATCAATCACATAGATCTAATTGGCATTTGTACAAATACTTC